CGGTGGTGCATTCCTGTGACCTCAGCTACTCAGGAGGCTGAGACAGGAGACCTGCTTGAAGCCGGGAGGCAGAGGGATGGAGATATATATACACACACACACATACGTACATACATACATCATACATGCATGTTATATAATTCGCTGGGTGTGGTGGCATGCGCCTGTGGTCCCAGGTGCTCGGGAGGCTGAGCTGGGAGGATGGCTTGAGCCCAGGATGGGAGGTTGCAGTGAGCCAAGATCACACCACTGAACTCAAGCCTAGGTAACGGAGCCAGACCCGTCTCAAAACGGAAGAGCTCACTTCTCTGTTTTCTTCACTTGGGGCCAGTCTGCTCAGCGTAACTGGATGTTTTCATAAGGAAAGTAAACCTGAAAGGGCGTAAGAAAATTCCTGAATGAACGGAGAATGTTCCATGTCTCACGAATGGGAATCCTAAGTGCAGCAACCTATCAGTTCTCCTCACGTTACTTTATAAATTCGGTTCCATTCCAGTCAGAGTCCTCATGGAATCATTGGTGTCCACTTGCCAAACTGCGCTTTAAATTAACATGGATTAAAATTAATGTGGAATAAATGTGCACGAATAATTAGGATTAAAAACGATAGAAGGGCAGCATTCCAGACACAGGTGGGCTCTGGCCAGGGTCCAGCCTGGAGCCCCCACCCTGGCTCTTCATGAAACCAGCCAAGTCCAGGCGTGGGTGTGTTCAGTGGCAGCACCGTCTTCGGGTGACACATTCATGCACCGCCATCACCGCGCTCAGCCCCGGAACGTTCCGTCACCCAAAAGGCCTGTGTCCCGCTCCCGTCCGCTCTTGATGGGTGCCGGCTCATTTCCTTGAGTCATGCTTGGTGACAGATGGGGGGTATCTTCTGTGCCTGGCTTCTGTGGCGTCTTTTCTTTTTCTTTCTCTTGAGATGGGATCTTGCAGTGTTGCCCCGGCTGGTCTTGAGCTCCTGCCTCAGAGCTGCCCTACTGCCTGGGCTCCCGAGTGGCGTGCCTTTGAGCTCCACCCACACTGAGGTGCTTGCCAGCAGCACGTCACTCTGAGTGCTGAGCAGTGTGGGGGGACGCAGTGTTTCACCCACTGATAAGAGTTGTGGTCTGTTTCCGATTTTAGGTTATTGTAAATGAAACATCTGCATGTAAGTCTTCAAGTGGACCTGTGTTTTCATTTATCTGAAGTAAATGCTTGGGAGTGTCGGCTGGGCTGCGTGGTAGAAGTGGGTTAACTTTTCTGCCCCACTTCACCGTCCCACCCGCTGTGTGTGAGCCTATTCTTTACCCAGAGGCCGCACCAGCACTTGGTGTTGTGATGCTTTTAACTTCAGCCATCGTGGCGGCTGTCTGATGTCGTGTCGCGGCTTTGATCTGCTTTCACGGTGACCATCGGTTCGTGTGTGACACACTTCAGCTGTTCATGTGCTTATTGCCCATTTGCATATTTTATTTGTGAGGTGCCTGTTCAATTTTTTGCCCCTTTTTTTCATTAAATTGTTTACTGAGCTGTAAGAGTTGTTTTTTTTTTTTTTTTAATATATTCTGGATACAAAGTCTTTTTTTTTTTTTTTTTTCCCGAGACAGATCTTGCTCTGTCCCCAGGCTGGAGTGCAGTGGTACAGTCACCCTAGCTCACTCAGCCTTGACCTGGGCTCAAGCGAACCTCCCGCCTCAGCCTCCCGAGTAGCTGGGACTACAGGCGCAAGCCACCATGCCAGCTAATTTCCTGTAGAGATGGGGTCTCACTGTGTTACCCAGTCTGGCCCTGAACACCTGGGCATGGGCAGTCCTCCTGTCTCAGCTGGCCAAAGCGTGGGGACTACAGACAGCGCAAAGTTTTGTCCAATACGTGACTGAGTATTTTCTCCCAGTTGGTGACTTGCGTTTTCATTTCTTTAGGGCACAAACAGTTTATGTTTCATGGAGGCAAGTCCTGGGTAAGGTGCTTTACATGCGTCATTCACTTAATTCTTACAGTGTCCGTGGAGGTCAGAAGCTCCCCCATTTAGAAATGAGGAAACTGAGGCACGAGGGGTACATCCTCTTCGAGGACAGACTCGGTGGGTGTAGGAACAGGGTTACAGATGGGGAAACTGAGGCACGAGGGGGTCCATCCTCCCTCCCAGGACACACTCGGTGGGTGTAGGAACCGGGTCTCTGACTGCATTTGCAGGTGGTTGTGCAGAGGGGTCTCGGGCGAGGGTTTGGCACCGGCAGTGTTCCAGGTCTGGTGGTGCTGTGGTTCTGGTCTTGGGCCTGTTGTGGGCTGTTTCCAAGTGAGGCATTTTCCACCAGCGATGGGACGGGACAAGATTGCAAAGAAAGCACCCTGCCTCCTCCCCCTACATCTGGGCTCTGACGGCCAGACCAGAGGGTGAGCAGAGATGGCTGGCGCCTCCCGCAGCTGGCCATGGTCCCTGCAGGCCTCTGCTCAGGCCCCTTCTCAGCCCTTGGTGTCTTGGGATGCTGTCCTGAATCTCTCAGATGTGATTTCCTGAACCGGACGGCTGGTCGTCTTGCATGGTGAAAAGTACCATGTTTACGCCTACCGTAACTCTTTAACAGCAGACACCTGCCCTGGATGCCAGTGCCCCCCTGGGCCCTTAGCAGCAGCCTTCAGCTCCCCAGGAGCATGAGGCTCTTCTGTCCAGCATGCTGGGGGCTGGTCTCAGCCCTCACTGGCCAGCAGACACAGGGTCATGTCGGAGTTCCCCCACTGGGACTCGCAGCCACGTGCTCGTTGGGAGTTGGAGAGTGGAGCTGAAGCTCTCTCGGTGCTGTAGAGTGGATTGGGGGCCTGTTACATGAGTGTTTAGCAGTGCTCGCCGTGCTCTGACACCATGCTTACGTGTTTCTGGATTTCAGGCGAGCCCACACCTTGACCGTGCTCTTCATCCTCACCTGTGCACTTGGCTATGTGACGCTGCTGGAAGAAACACCTCAGGACACAGCCTACAACACCAAGAGGTAACTGGCCCTCCCATCCTGCTTTCCGAAGCTGCCCCTGTGCCCCGTGTGGGGTTGTGGTGTCCTTGCCGCGTGGGCCGCCACCCTCTCCCTTCAGTGTGTCTGATGTGCAAACCCCTGGGGCCGCCCTGGGTGCTATGTGGCGTTCCTGCCGTGGACTGGTCAGCCCCATCGCCTGTCCCCGGGAGCGGGAGTCTGTGCCGTCTCCATGTGCCCGGCAGCCTGTGCTGGTTTCCTGAGTGTTGTGTGTTGAGAGGCTGGAACATTCTGCGGCAGCCTGCAGGGCTGAGCCCTCGAGTTCGGACGTCTCCCGGTGTGAGATTCCTGCAGTGGCTGGTGCCCGTTCCGCCAGCCGGCGTGGCTCTTGCACGGACGGGGGTCGGCAGCCTGCGACCCTGCTTCTGCGTTCAGGAAGTGAGCAAACGCGTCTTTTCAGCGTGGTCTCCACAGCAGGCTAGACACTGGTGTGTCCTTTGCTGGAGTTCCACAGGTTCTGGCGCCTGTCTCAGAAGTGTGTGTGTGGAAGAGAAGCTGGTTTTAGAGCCTGGGAATTTGTCTTGAGTTTTCTGCACCTGATTCTCCTCTTGCAATCCACGCACCTTGGTGTGTCTGCCCAGGGCTGCCTCCTGCGCAGCAAGGCCGCAGACACCTTCAGGGCCTGGGCCCTGCTTGCTCCAGGCGGATGGCGGGAGGAGGCCAGAGCAGGGTCCGGAGAGCAGCACCAGGGAGAGCAGAGGTGGAGGGAGGCACTGGAGGCCTGTTGGTACCCGGGCCACATGGCGGCTCCGGTTGGCAGGAGCCTTGGGGCTCGTGGGGGGTCCGCTGTCCCTGCGCTCTTGGGCCAGCACTTTGTCTTGTAAAGCAAGGGTCTCCGTGTCTTCTTGAGTGTCGAACGGGCGATGGGTAGGCGCAGTGTGAACGTCATCACGCGTGGACGGGCCTCGGGGGCCCTGTCTGCTCATTGACTTGCCACTAGCCCTGTGGGCTCCAGAAAACGAGCACACCCAGCGCCCTGTCTGTAGGGGACTGGGATGCTTTAGAGTCACCCACAGCAGGCATCACCAAGCCCATCTCCCTGGGGGCAGCCGGCATTTCTGGTTACAAACTGCTGTTGGGTGCCTGGACCCAGGGCTCTGCAGCCTGCTCCCCAGAGGAGCTCACCCCTCGGTCCTCCCCTGTGAGACAAGGTGGCCTCTCCTGTGCTGGTCTTCCCCCTGCTCCTGGCTGCGCGCCCTGTCGGCTCTTTGCCACCTCGCTGACATCCCTCTCCCAGTCAGCTCTGCTGGGCCTTCCTCTTTTTTTCTGAGCCTGAGGTGGCAGATTGCTCTCAGGCGTGCGTCTCCCATCCTCCAGGCCCAGCTCGCTCCTTCTCCCTCTCCTAGGCCATCAGTCCCTGCTGGGGCCACGTGCAGAAACCTGCAGGCCCGGTGTGCACTGGGTAATTAGGACCCAGAAGTAGATGAGGGAGCATGTGCCGAGCCTGGGCCCTGTGGAGGGGCCACATGGGGACGCTGCAGCTGTGGCTCTGGAGGCAGTAAGGCTGTTGGCAGGAGCTCTGTGTTGTCTAGAGGGAGCTTTCAAGTAGGACTTGGTCTTTCTTGAATTCATTCATCACCACCTGGCCAGTAGGGTCTGTGGCATCTGCCAGGCCAGCAGAGCAGGTGGATTAGGAAGTGACACTGGGTCTCCCCTCGAGTGCCCCCATATGGCAAGAATTGCCAAGGAAGAGCAGGAGTGCAGAGGGTATCTTGGGAGCGCTCCGCGAGAGCATTCACCAGGCTCCACCAGTCATGTCACGAAGCCTCACCGCCGCAAGCCAGTCCCTGCCCTCCCAGGCCTGGGTGCTGTGGGAAGCACTGGGTGACGACGCAGACCCACAGGGGCCAGGAGCTTAGACCCTTGAGCTGGGGGCAGCAGCGGTGGACACGTCCCCCACTTCACCCAGCTCTGGCCTCTCCTGAGTGGCCCTCGATGTGAGAGGCTGGGTTCTGCCACCCTGTCCCCTCCAGCAGGGAGACCCTGTGCATGTTCATCGAGAGGGGCCAGGAGACGGGAATTCACGGGGCCCTGGGTACTTTCCTCTGAGGTTCTGTTTTGGGGACACTGGACGTGCTCCCAGCTCATGTTCTCTGGCCCCCTCACCCACTTTGAGGGCACAAAAGAAGCCACTTCTCTGCTGCTGGCTCCTTCCCAGAAGGCCCAGCTACCCTGGGTCACCCTGGCACTGACCGTGGCTCTGCAGCTCCTACCAGTGACATTGCCACGGTGCCTCTGTCCTGAGTCCATTCTCACGGCCCAGACCGCACTGCAGGCACCAGGAGTGTGACAGCAGCACCGCCCTGACTCGGGCACAGCCTCCCTGCCGCATGCTCGCTGTCCAGGAGACTGCGGAGGCTGGTTTATTTTTAATACAAGAGCTACTTGATGTCCTCAAAGGTGGATTTCTTACATAGAAAGTACCTGGCTGGGCACGGTGGCTCACACCTGTAATCCCAGCACTTTGGGAGGTGGGCGGATCACCCGAGGTCGAGAGATCAAGACCGTCCTGGCCAACATGGAGAAACCCCGTCTCTATCAAAAATACAAAATTAGCCTGGTGTGGTGGTGGGCGCCTGTAATCCCAGCTACTCGGGAGGCTGAGGCAGGAGAATCGCTGGAACCCGGGAGGCCGAGATCATGCCACTGCACTCCAGCCTGGGCAACAGAGTGAGACCTCAAAAAAATTAAAATTTCTGTTTTGTAAAAGACACTGTCAAGAGAATGAAAGAGTGGGCCACAAGCTGTTGAAAATACGTACGAAACACTGACAAAGGGCTTGTATTCAGAATATGCAAAGAACTCCTAAAGCTCAACAGGAAGAAAAGAAGCAGGTGTGCCAGGGTGGCTCACACCTGTAATCCCAGCACTGTGGGAGGCTGAGGCGCGAGGATCACTTGAGGCCAGGAATTCCAGACCGGCCTGGATAACCTGGTGCATTAGTCTGTTTTCAGACTGCTAGGGAGAAATACCCAAGACAGGGTCATTTACGAAAGAAAGAGGTGAATTGACTCAGTTCTGAACTGCCCGGGAGGCCTCAGGAAACTTAGAGTCATGGCGAAGGGGAAGCGAGCCCCTTCTTCACGAGGCGGCTGGAGAGAGCGAGCGAGCACAGGAACAGCTGCCGCTTCCCGTCTCGCTGTCGCTGGGCTGCAGTGCAGTGGCGCGATCCTGGCTCACCGCAACCTCTACCACCCTCAGCCTGCTGAGTAGCTGGGGCTACAGGCGTCCGCCACCATGCCCAGCTAATTTTTGTGCTTTTCACCATAGTGGCCAGGCTGGTCTCAAACTCCAGACCTCAAGTGATCCGCCCACCTTGGCCTCCCAAAGTGCTGGAATTACAGGCCTGCGCCACCTCTCCCAGCAAAAACGGCTGCTTGTAAAACCGTCAGCTCTCCTGAGACTCCCTCACCACACGAGAAGCGTGGGGGAAAGCCGCCTTCCTAACCCAGGCACTTCCCTCCCTCGACACGTGGAGGCTACAGTTAGAGGTGAGATTTGTGAGGGGACACAGAGCTAAACTGTCACATGGCGAAACTCCATCTCCAAAAATTAGCCAGGCATGGTGGCGCACACCTGTCATTCCAGCTACTCGGGAGTCTGAGGTGGGGGAGGATCCCTTGAGCCCAGGAGGTCAAGGCTGCAGTGAGCCAAGATCACACCACTGCACTCCAGCCTGGGCAACAGAGTAAGACCCTCTCTCTCAAAAACAAACCTGGGTGACAGCTCCTCGGAGGGCTCAGGCAGGAGAATCACTTGAATTCAGGAGGCAGAGGCTGCAGTGAGCCAAGATCACACCACTGCACTCCACCCTGGGTGACAAGAGCAAAACTCCATCTCAAAACAAAAACAAACCCTGGGTGAAAGGTCTAAGCAATGCTCACCAGAGAAGATACTCAGACAGCAGATCGCGGCGGGAGGGTGCTTGGCATCCATCGTCCTTCAGGAGCTGAAAACAGGAAGGCACCACTACATGCCTGTTGGAGTGGCTAAAATCTTAAAAACTCGCAGTACCGAACACTTGCAAGAATCGGAAGCACCAGGAACTCTCATCCATTGCTGGTGGGAATACCGAATGCCAAAGCCACTTTGGAAGACAGTTTGACAGACTCTCATAGAAGTGAATGTAAATATGCTCTTACCGGGCAGCCCAGCAGTCCTGCTCCCAAGTATTTCTTCTCATGTCCACACACAGGCCAGGCACGGTGGCTCATGCTTATAATCCCAGCAGTTTGGGAGGCTGAGGCAGGAGGATCAGTTGAGCCCAGGAGTTCAAGACCAGCCTGGGTAACATAGTGAGACCCCAGCTGTTGAGATCACGCCATTGCACTCCAGCCTGGGCAACAAGAGTGAAACGCCATCTCAAAAAAAAAAAGTAAATGATAACAATAATAGTAATGAAAAAGAGACCAAACTGAAAAACCTAGGCAGTGTCCCAGCACGCACGTACGCTCCCGCCTGTCAGCAGGCTGAGTTGGATCTCCTAAGCCAGAAGGCTGAGGCTGCAGTGAGCTGTGATTGAGCCACTGCACTCCAGCCTGGGTGACAGAATGAGACCCTCCCTCTAAAAGATAGTAATGATAAGTGAGCATCAAGCCGTGACCACAGGCAGGGACCTTACATACATGTTCCTATGTGAAAGAAGCCAGTTGAAGAGACCACGCACTGTGGTTTCAGCTTGATAACGCTGGAAAAGGCAAAATGACGTCATAGTTTTCAGATCAGTTGTTTCCAGGGGAAGACCCCACAGGGGTCACTCCGCCTCCTCCAGCATTCGTGTGGCACTGAGGCCACTCTGTGGTAGAACACGGCATTCATGTGGCACTGAGGCCACTCTTTGTGATAGAACGTGGCATTTGTGTGGTACTGAGGCCACTCTGTGGTAGAACACGGCATTCGTGTGGCACTCAGGCCACTCTGTGTGGCACCGTCATGGTTGATACGTGACACTGTGCGTTTGTCCAGACCTGCAGAACCGGACAACACAAGAATAAAACTTGTGGAGATTTTAAGCATTCATTTAGGAGATCAGGGATCCCAGCAGGGAAGGCAGACTGACGAGAATTTTAACTGTTACAAATGCATTTGGTGACCTTCTGTGGAAGGTTCAGAAGAAGGTGCTGTGTAACTTTGGAAATCAGCAGTGTCTGTAAGCCAGAGGCAAAAGGAATGGCATAGACACTGTTCTAGTCGATAAAGTTTTGCTCCACAGAGGTGCTGGGTGCTGCTGTCGTCATTTTGTTTGTGATTGTGTGACACTCCCGAGCCCAGCATGGCCACGTTCATAGCGTGGCCACGTTCATCGCGTGGCCCCAATGGCGTGGCAAGGCTGCTGCCTAGTCCTGCAGAGCACGGCCAGCGCCTCACTAAGGAATGTTCCACGGAATTCCCGGCCAGGCCCCCCTCAAACAGTCCAGGTCCTCAGTGACGGGGAGAGTCTGAGAAACCGTCCCGGCCTAGGGGAGCCTGAGGAACCGGGACGAGTAAATGCCACACGGCGCTGAGGAAGGGATTGTGGGCGGGAAGCGGGCACAGGGAGGAGGGCAGTGCAGGCCTCACTGAGCAGCTGTGTGACAGCCCTGGCTTGTCAACCGTGAGGCACTGATAATGAGAACACTGGGCGTGGGAGATAATGCGAACTTTTACTAGTTTCACAGTAATTCTGTAAATCTAAAGCCAGCCTAAAATTAAAAGTTTATTTTTAAAATGTATTTGTTTTCCTTTTTTTTTTTCTTTGAGATAGAGTCTCGCTCTGTCACAGGCTGGAGTGCGGTGGTGCAATCTCGGCTCACTGCAGCCTCCACCTCCCAGGTTCAAGCGATTGTCCTGCCTCAGAGTCACTGGGATTACAGGCACGCGCCCCCACGCCTGGCTAATTTTTTGTGTTTTTAGTAGAGACAGGGTTTCATGTTGGCTGGTGTCAAACTTCTCACCTCTAGTGATCTGCTCACCTCGGCCTCCTGAAGTGCTGGGATTGCCGGCATGAGCTACCATGCCCGGCAAGTAATTCTCATGAACAGATTAGCCTTGTGAAGTTGTGGTAAACATTATGTGATGTGGGGCCAGCCAGGTTCGAGTCCAGTGTGACCCGGTCTGAGCTGGCCCCTGGGCAGTGTACACACGTGTACAGGGGCCACAGGCCAATTCAGGAGCTGAACACCAGCACCACACCACGTGGCCAGGTCACACCCAGTGGCCTGGGGTGGCACGTGCCTGTCCTGCAGATGGCAGGGGTAGCAGCTTCCCTAGGTCAGTGCCTGTTTCTCTTTTCATTTCTATCTTTCGGGGGGGGGTGGCGGGCACAGAACATTTCAGTGTCTTTCCTCTGAATGTTAGGACTCTCTGCACGCACCATGGAGGCACACCTCAGGCGGGGCCTGGGTCCTGCTCCAGGGGGCTCTGCAGGGAACTTTTCACACCCCTCCTACCCCTCAGCACTGAGAGAGCTCAGGAGGGGCACCTGCACAGGGACGTGGGTCCTGCCTTGCTGAACCCGGCGCAGGCATCACTGCCACTGTCCCTGGAGGCTGACTGACAGCAGGCATGTGGGAGCTGGGGCTTGGGTGGAAACAGGTCAGAAACTCATGTTTCGCCGGGGGGGGCATGAATGTCCTGCCTCCCAGGCAAGACCCTTGGGGCTCTGAGTGGACAGCAGCACGTTTCCAGAACAACCAGACCGTTTCCCCAGAGGCACTGGGGGCCAGCGGCCTGTGCCCTCCCTATCCTCCGTCTTGCAGGACTCCTGCGGGCACTCCAGCGGGTGTGACCTCACCTCGTCTGCCTGGGACTTTCTGTCCCAGGCACTCCTGCGGGCAGAGGGGAATCCCTTAGACTGAAGTTGTTTCTGGATACTTTTTAAGGGCGCAGTCTTACAACATAGCTAGCTTGTCTCTGTGGCCCCGTCTGTTCCTGCAGCCACGTGAACGTGTGTGTGCGCAGCACCTTCCTTCACGGTAGCCAAAACCTGGACACGGCCCAGCGTGTAAACACCCCGAGGTGTGATGGTCGGCACAGCCACGCTTAGCCAAGGGAGGGACTGGGCAGTTCAGCAGCCAGTGGGTCTCAGACCCCGAGCTGAGCACGACTGAGGAGGACGGGCGCATGGAGTGCCGCAGAGCACAGAGGGTCCACGCGCGGGTGGGGGCGCCGGTGTGAGCGGGTGCCTGCGGCTGGGACTGTCTGCACATCCGCTGGCCTAAGCTGCTTTTCACGGAGACCCACTGGGCCTCTGGCTGAGGCCGGCCCCAAGGAGCTTTGCCCAGGAGGGAGCACCTTCCCCAGGGTGCCTCCCCAATGCCCAGCGCAGCCCCTCGCACCTTCCTGGGTGGGGGCTGTGCCCCTTCCGTTCTGTGAACCTGCATCTTGATTGCAGTTACAGCTCTCACGTTGCCATCTAATGAACCGCAGGAGTCCTGTTGGTATCCAATGAGAGGACCCCAGAAAGACACAGGAACTCTGTAGAGACGCCTCCTGGGTCCTGCCACGGTGGAGCAGGGAGGCGTTAGCAGCACTGTTCCCTCCTACGTGGGCATTTGTGCTGACGGTCACGTGCAGAGCATTCGGTGCTTTCCGTGTAAGCGAGTGTCTTGTCACGTGACCCTGGGAGCCACCGGCAGCCTGAGTGCGAGCGCCTTCGCCTGGCGTGGGCCACTGGGCAGGTGGAGTGTGAACGCTGGGCCCAGGGTGGTGGAGGTAGCCGGCCTTCGCCCCGCCTATCCTTCTCCCCGCCTGCATCGGGCTGTTCCACAGTGGGTGTCTGGGGGTCCCTGCAGCCTCCCATCTCCCTCCTGGGAGAAGCCTACACACACTGAGGGGCTGTTTGTTCTTTATTTGCAGAGGTATTGTGGCCAGTATTTTGGTTTTCTTATGTTTTGGAGTCACACAAGCTAAAGACGGGCCATTTTCCAGACCTCATCCAGGTAACTTGCCATTTCTTTCTCGTGTGTGCCCCTGTGGCAGTTCTGTTCTGAGCGGTCACTCTGTGTCTGTGCTGCTGGGTGTGAATGTCCTGTCCTCCCTTCCACCTGGACCCTCCCCGAGGCCTCCGAGGCTACTTCCCACACTGGGACAAGGGTGTGGGGCTGCAAGCTGGGCACGTTTTCCTCCTCCAACCCTGAGGGTCCCCCCAGGCCTTCTCCGGCCGTTTCACTCTTCCCTGTCCAAGGGCCTTTCAGCCCTTCTCTTCCTGCTTCTGCCTCCTCTTTCCACGGACCAGAGTGGTTGCAGGCTCCAGATGGGGCTGTGAGGCCAGGGGGTGTCGGCTCCAGATGGGCTGTGAGGCCGGGGGGGTGTGGGCTCCAGATGGGGCTGTG